AACTGCCAGCTCTCTTTTCAGACACAGATTTCACCTTGGAATACAAAAGATAACAGTATACACCTGAGCAATATAATAAACACCTCATGGTGCATGACAAAGATCTAAGGCTTCCAACAGTTTACTGTGAGAGCCACCACAGTAGGCGGTATCTCTAGTTATCACTGTCAGGCTCACACGCCAGCTTTGAAGTAGCCTAGTGGGGACCGTGGTTATCACTTAAATAAACAAGCAACGGACCCAGGAGTACGTGTGTCATTGTAAATGAAATTACTGAGTGGCCAGCCTGTGGTGGACTTGAGCCACGCTCAGACCTCAGCGAGGACACACTACTAGTGTGTTCGTGACATGTCTAACCCTCTTGCTAAAGGGCCGACCTAACCCTCGTGGCTGCCCTCATGTGTCTTCTCTCATCTGCATCTTGGCCCCTGTGCCCGGGAGGAGTTCGGCGACCCATCCAACCTCAGCTCCAGTTTCAGAGGAGAAGGTGGGTGTACAGAGACTCCAGCTGAGAGGCGCTCCCTGACTTTCTTATTCCAACGTGAGCGTGGTTATGGATGTCTTCCATGCAAGGGCAGGACACTGTCAGTACTGCATCTGTGTTGTGTTTCTGAGCTTCTTCCTTGAGCTGATTCCTCCCCTTCACACCTGCTCTAGAAGACCTGCCTTGCAAAACGAGAAAGCAAACCGGCAGTGCAGGTTGCTATGGCGAGGCCAGTGCATGGAGCCTGGGGTCCTGGAGGTCTGCCCGCTCTGCCACTCAGGGGCCTTAGGCAAGTCCTTTCCCTCTCCAGGCTGCAGCTGTGTCTTCTGTCAGGTGAGGAGGGCTGGGCTAGATGACCTCTAAGCTTCTCCCACATCTGAGCTCCAGCGGAAAAGAGCATTGTCAAGAAACTCTGGGAGAAGGAAAAGAATTTGTTCTAATTTTCTGCCTTTGATATTCTAAGTAACCACAGCTGAGCATTTGTGAAAGAGAAGTGTGGGGGCTGTCACCACGCTGCCTCTCCCACATTCTGGTTTCTCTGGGTAGCAGGAGACAGATGCTGGGCTTGGCACCTGCTGGTGGGTTTACCCGAGGAGGGCAGAAGGGGCAGCGGAGGTGATCCTGGACTGAGAAGTTAGTGGTACGTTCTTTTCACACTGACTTGACCTCACAGAATGTGCAGCCCCAGGTGGGGTTGAGTTCAAAACCAAAACAAAGGCGGGGTAAATGAACTCAGAAGTGAAGGTACAGGGTCTGGTATTTGATAGAAATGACCTGGAACTAAAGAAAAGCAAGATGGAATGGACTCTCCTGATTTCTTTAAAGTCCTTTAGTAGGATTCATATCCTGGGTCCCTTAGTTTGCCAAATGCCAGATGCCTGGCCAGCAGGGCTGGAACTGGCCTGAGAGAGGCGAGGCATCTGCAGACACTGAGTGAACGCCAAGGTGAAGTTTATGCCCCTAGGCCCCTGACTCCCTTCCCCTGGGCCCCGCCATCCTGGGCAGTGTAAACATTGTCTTTCATTCTGGCCTTAACTTGAAAAGCAGATTAAGAAGCTACAAACCCAGCTGAAGTTTGCAGCCTGTTTGAACAGTTCTCCCTTGTTAGCCACACGCAGCTGAGGAAATTAACAATGAGGAATTCACATTTGGCAAGAAGCAAAATATGAAAGCCTGACTGCTGATTTCCTAATGGACGACGTTACTTTTTTCAGCTGAGAGCCTTTGGTTGCCAGAGGGACCGCTGGCAGGGTCCCGAAGCACACTGCCCTGGGGCAGGATGTTGCGTCTTCTGCTGGTGGTTTCAGCTGCAGTGCACTGAAGCCCTGGGTCAAGGACTGGGAGAGGAATCGGGGGCCCTGTGTTGCTAACTGGGCCCTACCTTTTGGAGAGACTCTGTAATCATGCAGAACAGCCAAGGTTCTCATCCCCCTGTCCCCCTAGCAGGGGCAGAACAGCCAAGCAAACAGCCAAGAAGGGGCCTGCCGTGGTTCCTTCAGGGCCCCGAGGCAACCCCTACCCTGCTGCCCTGGGAATGCTGTGCCACACACAGGGCAGAGTCTCAGCCTCTCACCGGCAGGCTCTCTCTCCTTCCTGTTAGAGGAATCTGTGAGATTTGTTGAACTGAGCGGATGTGTTACAAAGGTGGAAAATGCACCTCCAAGCTGAAACCAGGACAGCAAAAGGAATAAAATTAAAGGCTCAGGGGGACTAGCTGACCTAGAAATTACTTGTTCCTGTATTTTGCCCACGTGGTCTCCTTTCTGCCTTAGAGTCAGGTTGGGAAGGGCTCCAGCCTAATAAAGGTGTGACTTTTACCTCCCTGCCTTCCTCAGTTGCTCAGAGGAAACCCCTGAGACCCTTAAACGCTGGGCTCCTGGTGGGAGTCTCCCGAGGGCTGCGTCCGCAGCACGGAAGCGGCTGGGAACTGGGAGGCTGTGTACACCAAGGCTGCTCCATGTTCGCTTGGGGTTTCCCTGGGCACGCTGGGCCACCCCTCAGCAGACCATTTCCTCAAGTCAAAAGCATTTTTACGGCTCTTTTGGTAAAGTCACTTCTGGATTTTTCCTCATCTGTGCCGTCCTCTCCCTCAGGCCCTTTCCCTGGCCCAGATCTCAGGTGAAAGCCAAGTGGGGTCAAGGAAGACCCAGCGAGGAATGCAGGCCTGGCCCCCCGAGGTGGCTGCCCACCTCGCCCTTGTCCTGGGCACTGGCTGAAGTTCTCTTTTCCCAAACTGGAACACTATGTGATTACAGTGTAGAGGTGGGACTCTAACTCGGTGAATTCACAGAAATTCTCTTTCATCTAGAGTTTTCTCTGAGCAAAGCCCTTTCTGTTTCTCTTCTGCCTCTTGGCCGCAGGCGGCAGGTTATGGCTTCTTTTTAACTGAACCTTGAGTCATTTACTGCCTCTTCACAACAGCCACGGAGAGCTGGGCTGTTTCACCGACCCACAGACTGACACTCAATGCTGGGAGCTTAGACCAAAGTCACACAACTGGCTAAGGTCTCTTCATTTGTCCAACTCAAAGTCCAGCGCTTTTTCTGTGCTTCGGTTTCTTCAACTGTAAAATGGGGGTGTTACTAACACGTACTTCATAGGGTTGCTGTGAAGGATGAATGTTCTAATATGTGTAAAAGCATTTAAAATAGGGCCTGGCACATAGACAGTGTTCACCGAATGTCCGCTAATTTTATTGCACTAAACCTTGTTTTTCTTTACTATTCCAAGCACTGGATTCATGACTCATTTGTGGGAGGATGTGTTACATCATCCTAAATTATAGTCTTGAGAGTGTTATCCGAGATGGGGAGTGAACCCATTTCCCAGGCTCAGAGGAGGCTGAGGTGGGACCAGAGGAGATCCTTGCGAGCAACAGGACTGAGCTGCCCCACTGAGGCACATCCCCACCTGGCCCTGGCTGGGAAGAAGACACCTTCAGATGCAGATAAACCCATAAAGAAGATGGTATCCCCTTTACAAAACACGGAGTGCAGGAAGAACAAAGGTTCCTGAGCAGAGCCCAATATTACAAGGCAACATTTTACTCTGATGTGCTGAAGGCCTTTGATTTTGAGGCGATTCTAGATTCTTCATGACTTCTATTTTACTTTAGCCCTGTAGTTACAAAGTAGGACCTGTGTGTGGTGACAGGAGTATCAAGGAAGACACCAGTTCACTCCCAAAGGGATGTCAGAAAGCCTTCGGGGATTGGAGGGAGGGCTCTGGACACTGCCAGGGAGCCTTGTGCATGGGAGGGGCTGTCCATCGGCTTGTCTCAGCCAGGGACTTGCCCTGTAGCTCAGGCCCTGACAATATAAATGACAGAGATGTGTTCCTGCCATCCTGGGGACCTTGGAGAAAGCCAAGGTGCTGGGAGCAGGTACCTTTAGCACCATATCTGTTGGCTGCTGCTGAAGCAATGGAAAACGCAAAACATAATCAGGAAAGAGCGAGACTCTGTAATTTGGCTCCACAAACCCAATCAAGGGGACTAGATACTCAAAACTGTACTTTACCCATTGGAAAGTTGTTAAAGTCATGTTCCAGCAGTTGACATTTTTGCTTATCAGTCCATCCTCTCAGGAAAGAACAGGGACCCACATATCAAAGGTTTAAAACACACATGTCTGTAACTAAGCTTTGGCATGACATTTTCAGCCTGTCCAAGCTTCCCGCTGTTGGTGTTTCCATCAAGCCCCCTTTCTGCTGGGCTCCATCAGGGCTCCCCGGCATGCACTCTTCACACGAGGCCATCTCAAAGTTTCCAAAAGGTGCCCTCGGCGCTTGAACGTCTGATCTGATCTTGGGCTGATGTGCTCCTAACTTCAGGGCTACAGGAGGGCCCAAGGGACCCGTAAGCAGCGTGCAGAGGGTTCAGCGGGCTGAAAGGAGCTACAGGAGAGGACCCGCGACATCTTCCTAGCGGGTCCCCGGCGCTGACTAATCTCCGCGACCCCCCGGAGGTGGGGCTGCAGGGAGTTGTGCGGCCGAGGCGCTGGGGGCGTGGGACATGCTGACACCGCGCAGTCGTCCCCGCTCGGGAGCCCAGCGGACTGCCGGGCTGCGTCGGGGCGCCGCGCTGCGGGGCTCCTGGCCGCGGCTGGGAGATGCCGAGGGCTGGGGCTGCACACGGCTTCCTCGGGGCCGAGCGTCTGGGACAATGGGGAGCGAGCTCGCGGCCGCGGCCTCGGGGGCTGCGGGGCAGGCGGCTCCCGCGCGGCAGTACGAACCGGGCTCGGCGGGGGACGCGGCCCCGGCCCGCGCGAAGCCGCCGCCGCTCCCGCCGCATCCCGCCGCCCATTGGCTGCAGCGCGCGGGCGCTCCCGCCCCGCCCCGCTATTGGCCGTGGCCGCCGCGGTCCCCGCGCGCGAGCCGCCGCTGACATCACGCGGCCTGAGGCGGCGGCGGCGCCCCCGGCCCAGCCCGCGGCCCCCTCGGCAGAGCGCCGCCCCGGCCCGGCGGAGGATGGTGCGCGGCGCGCCGGGGGTCCCCCGCCGCCAGAGCCGCAGCGCCGAGCCCCAGCGGGCCGCGGCGGGCAGCCGACCCCGAGCCCGGGCGCGGGGCCCGCGGCCGCGGTGAGGCGCGCAGGGCGGCGCGGGCGTGGCGGCCATGGGGGCCCTGACGAGCCGGCAGCACGCGGGCGTGGAGGAGGTGGACATCCCGTCCAACTCCGTGTACCGCTACCCGCCCAAGTCCGGTGAGGGCCGGGGGCGGGGTCCGGGGGTCCCGGGCCGAGCTGCGGGCTCGGGCGCGGCGCGACCTTGAGGCTGGGCGGCGTTGGGAGCGGCGGGGAGGGGGCGTGAGGGGCCCGGCGCCGGAGGGCGCGGGCGGCCTGTGCGGGCTGACCCGTGACGGCCGCGTGCGGGGCACTGCGGCCCCGAGGGGCGGGGTGCCGGCGGGGCGGGCGGGGTCCCGGCTGGCGCAGCGCCTGTCCCCTTCCTTCCCGCCCGGTGCCCCTCGCGGGGGGCAGCCGACGGCGAGGCCCGACTGGCTTGGTCTCCGAACCGGGCCCCTGTGCTCGGCGCTGGCCCAGGCCGGGCATCCAGGCGTCCGGAGCGACAGCGCAGGTTTGGGTTAGGTGTCCCCGGGGAAAGCAGCCTCCCGGGCTGGAGGACGGAGGCCGAAACCGCGTTTGCAGTGCGGCTGCTTTTGAAGAGGCCGTCGGAGGAGCGAGGCGTTTAGCAGCAATGTTTGGGAATCGAAGTATCAGAGTCCCCGGCTTGTTCCTTTGCCAGAGCCGCCAGCAAGCCTGCTCTTTGGAATGGGGAAAGCTCTGGGATAGGGCACAGTTATTTAGAATGTATGGAAGTATTATGCTTGTTTTCACAGTTATAAAAAGATGAATGTCTCCAGCCTTTGGGTTGTAGAATAATCTTGGGAGGTGGAGGCTTCTGTCAGCAAAGGAGAGAGTGTCACAAGGGCTGGCGCACCAGCCAGGTCCCAGCTGCTGGTGCATGACCTAACTGCTCTTTCCTTGTCATTGCTTTTCTCAAGACTGCTGGGGACCGATGACTACCATCTTCTCTTTGGCTTAGGACCTGATGAGGATTTAGGGGATCTTGGGGAGGTGTCGGAAGTGAAGGGTAGAATAAAGACATGCTAACAAGATGAGCTGGCTTCTGAGCAGTGTGTCGGTTTGTGCCAGGTGACAGCAGGGACCAGACAATGAACCTGCTCCCTGCAGAGTGTTTGCCAAAGCTCTGTTTCTCACTGCTTTTGTGCCAAAGGATGAATCCTTGCAGAGATGAATATGATTAAGAGCTGTTTTAGAACAGTTTAAGATAAAGCTGTGGATCTTTAGTGTTTTAATAAAATGCTAGCTAATTATGACTATACGAAACCATTGCTGAAGGAAGCCCCACATTTTGCTTCTCAATAGACAAAAATAGCACAAGTACTTGTGGGTTTTTTTCCCCCTGTAATCACCTAGCTTTTATTGATACGAATATGGAGCATGTTTTGCTGAACTTGGAGTTTTCAGTGGAGTTTGCTGCCTCCTTCACATCTGGGAATTACCATAGGTAAATCTCTGAAAGGCTGTTTCTCAAAGGATACTGATAGAAGTGTGAATCTTGGATGACAGTAATAAAAGGGTAATGGGCCAAACTAAAACTTTTCTTAACCAGCACACTCAGTGGCTAGTCTTAAATAATCTTCTCCACTCTACCAATCTTTTAAAAGTTTTAAGTAGTTGTAACTCATTTTCAGTCAGAGAAATATTTATAGCAAGTGGCCCAAATTACTCATGTTGAAGATAAAACACAGAAAATTAGAATCAGAACATTTATGACCCAGTCAGCAAACCTTTATATACTTGAAAATTTCCATGAACTTGTATACATGCTCTAGTTCAGAGGCATCTCCTACCCTTCATCTGATCTTTAAACTGACCTGGCTCTTCAAGGGATTATAGTATTTTAGACCTGAAAGGAACCATCTAGAAAATCTGACCCTAGACCCACTCATCGCACCTGTGAGAAAGAAAACGGGAGCCCAGAGAATGAATTAGCATGGCCAGGGTCGCCCAGCAAGTGCTCTTACTAAGCCGTCAGCCTCTGCCTTACACAAGGAATTGGACTTGTCCTCGAGGATTTGTGGAGTGGAGGCTGTTCTGCATCTGAACGGAAACAAAACCCAGGGTGTTGTTCCTGCTGAGGAATCAGACTGGGTTGATTCTGCGAAGTCCCCTTACTTTGAGTACTGATAGTACAACAAATAGCAGAGTCGGCTTTCTCCAGGTGCCTGATGGAGCTGAGCTGAACTGAGGACCACCTTCTGGCTCACTGGAAAGTCTCAAAAACTCTACTGCCCGTGGAATAGTTGTTTCAGATAGCAGCTCTGTCATCTGTCCCTGCAGTGTTGGTCACAGTGATCAGCAGACAGTGTTTTTCTTTTTTTTGTAGTTTTAAAGGAACCCCTTAGTTTTGTAGGCATATTGAATGGAAACTTTTAAAAATTAACGAGGAAAGCTGATTTCATGTTGGAACTTGGATTTGTAGCTTTTTTAGAGAGAGAGGTGAAAATAAAGTTGCCTAAATTATTTAGAATTATTTATATTTTTAAAAAAGTAGTATTTGCATAGTTCAAAGTTTAAAAGAATGCAAAGGCATCAGTGAAGGTCTAGTTCTCACAGTATTGTTCATCTGCTCCATACAACCTCCATGCCTGTGGAACTGCTTTTGTTTTCTTTGGAATTCTTCCAGAATTTCTTGTGTAAATACAAGCATAGCATACTATTTAGACTGTTCTGCACTTTTTTTTTCTTTTACTTTCAGAGTTATTGGAGATCTTTGTATATTATCTCCATATTGGAGAGTAGTTTTGTTCTTTTTAAACAGTTGTATAATAGTCCTTTGCATGCTTATGGCATCATTTTTTAACATAATCCATTGATGAACATTTGGGAACTTTTTTTTCATTCTTTTACTTTTGCAAGCAATGCAGCAATGGTTAATGTTACAGATACATCCTTAGGTGATTCTTAGCATTGTCAATACATACATGAATATTAATCATCTAGGTACAGTCTTTCTAAATTAGCATAGAGAGCTCTTTATAGCACCACTCTCCATTTGGTTGTGCTTCTGTAATTTTTGAGTTAGAAGCCATGCATGCTTTTAAATCTTCTCTGTGATCATCACTTCTTTAAATGCCCATGATCATTTGTTTATCAAAAGTATGGCTTTGCTGAGGTGGTTGTTCTTATGCATGCATACCCATCGTTTGAAAAGGGGTATCCACATGGATGAAAGTCATTAGACTGGTTTTCTCTATCCAGGAGCTAGGAGGTGTACTGTAAAGGCACGTAATTCATTTTAATGCAGTAACATTTTAATGCAGCTTATTTCTCTCTACACATATCTGAGCAAATTGCAAAATGGGAGCAATTCATTTTGCTCAAGTGTTGAGAGGTAAACATATTACAAAAATTCAGAATGGGGATGAGAGTCCTGAGCAGTGACATCCTCACTCTCCAGATGTTTGTTCTGTTGGAGTAGCAGATGCTTGTCAGGGGTCTGTCCTGTGGCGAGAGCAGTTTTTAGAGCATGGGTAGTAAGTCATTGTTCGTCAACTAGTTATAAAGTTTTTCTTAGCTTTTAGGAGCATCAGGTTAATACTAGTTTTGAAACCAAAGTCTTAAAAATATGGAACTTACTAGAGAATAAATAATTATTTCATTCTTGCACAGTTTATTGATCCTTTAAAATTAAGTAAGTTCTTGAAATTCATAGTAAGTAAATTTAATACATAAAAACTAAATGTTGCTTTATTTAATGATAAAGTCATCGATATAAAAAAATAATGCTAGGGTTATTTATTAAATAGTTAAAATGTAGTAATTCTTTCAAAACTTCCAATATTTTTGCTTTATTTGTACTTCACTGAGAGCAGACTGATTTTTTTCACTTCAATTTGTCTTAAGATTTAAGGCCTTTGATTTCCTTATATGATGGTGGTTGTGTTCTTTTGTTCTTTAACATCTCTTTTTTATTTGTGTTTATAATCCTTAATCACTAATTGAGCACCTGCTTTGTATCATGCACTGTGCTGGGCACCACTGTGTAGATTCTGATCCTTGCACTTAGTGATTTTAATGCCTAAGGCAAGCAGCAGGATAGAAGCTCTCAAATCAATTTTGTAATCCAAGATGTGGGTCACAGAAGGGAGTAGCAACAACAGAAAACTATTTGATGGCAATATCAGTCAGGTTTCTCCAGAGAAACGCCGAAAGAAGATATATGTAAATATAAGAGATTTATTTTAAGGAATTGGCTCCCATGATTGTGGGGGCTGGCAAGTCTGAAATGTGTAGGGCAGGCCAGCAAGCTGGAAACTCAGACAGGAGTGGATGTTGTCATTTTGAGTCTGAAACCTGTAGGGCAAGCTGGCAGACTGGAAACTCAGGCAGGGTTTCTATGTTACAGTATTAAGAGCATTGCTTCTTCTCTGGGGAACCTCAGGTTTTGCTGTTAAGGCCTTCAACTAATTGGGTGAAGTCCAGCCACATTATCAAGGGTAATCTCTCTTACTGAAGGTCATCTAATTGTAGAAGTTAATCATGTCTGCAAAATACCCTTATGGCAACATCTAGATTAGTGTTTGGACAAGTAACTAGGCATCATTGCCTAGCTAAGTTGACACAAAACATTTCACAATCATAGTGGCTTCCTATTTTAACTGATTATTCTTGCTAAGTAGGTGCTAAACTTGAGTGTTTAGTTGCTGAAAGAGTACTTGTGCTGTGAAAACATTTTTTTAATCTTAAAGTTACAGTTTTTAAAAATAATTATCTAAAAATTATGCTCCTTCCAAAATTTCAGTGTTTATCTACTGTCAGAGGTAAAATGCAGGCATACATAAATAAATAAGAATATAGCATATACCTTGAATAAGTTGGATACATATAGCAGGAATGCAAGGTTGGTTTAAATCTGAAAAGTTGGTCAATGTTAATACACCATATCAGTAGAGTAAAGAATAAAAACCACACGATCATCTCAATAGATGCAGACAAAACATTTGACCAATCTAACACCTTTTCAAGATAAAAAACACTCAGCAAACTGTGAATAGAAGGGAACTTCCTTAACCTGAAAAAGGGCATCTATGAAAAGCCCACAGCTAACATTATACTTAATGGCAAAATACAGAACGCTGCCCTGCTAAGATCAAGAATAAGGTAATGTCTACTTTCAG